GGAAGAGATACCTACTATGAAAAGACTACAGGTTTCTTATGGAGCGGGACGGGGCACGCCTTGCTGCAAACGGTACGCCAGTAGCGGTCTAACGCAGCTTTTTCCGCTTCGGTGAATTCCCTTCGCTGCTGTCCACGCCCATTTGGCTATCCCAGCTGCTGATCCCTCGCTATCGGACCGTTTTCGCAGAGATGCAGAGTAGACCTTGAAGCTGAAACGTTAGCACCGATGAGACTTGCTTAACGCGAAAATCAACTGGGGAATAGGGGTCCCCTTAGCGGAATGTAGGCGGTTTTCTTTAGCTTTTTTTACTGCTGCACCTTATAGCAGCTCTATGTGCATTACTATGAGAGCAACCAATTGTCGTGTCGCCTGCCTTTGAACTCGATTTAATTGTAACAAGTGCTTTTCGAAGGTGACCTAGTTTCAGTGTAGCTTGTTCCAGGTACAGAACGGGAGATTTCTATCGCTGAGTACCTGAGTAGTTAGAAGCGGTGGTAGGTAACTGCCTGAGGAAGACTGAATCAACTCATTTTATTCACATGCTTGTGGGCCCAAAGGTGGACACTGCATCGATGTACCAAAAATTGGTCGCCTTATACAGCATTTGTTAGCTAATTGTCTCAAAGCGAGGCTCCTCTGGTAGCTCTCTAGTGCCCAAATGATTAGATGACGAGCTCGCGCGATGGAAAGCCGCTAGAAAGGGAGCTGAACGGTTTCGAAGTGGGCGTGGTTGGGCCGTCGGCCGAGGAGAATGCAGCCGGTTCACCATTAGTGTCGAAGGTGAAAACCCTATTGGGACCGTTGCTTTAAGAAGGTCGATTTTTCTACCACGATATATTGAAAAACCTTCAGATCATTTGAAAACTGACTCTCCCGAACAAATCAGTTGTACATTTATGGGTACTATTGATATTTTATTGTGATATTTTGTGGTGCCGATACGTTTCTCGCCACATGATGAGCGCTAACGATCCGTAATATCTCTTTCTAGACCTGCCTCCATAACACAGTCGGTGACAGTTGCGAGCGATGTGCGGCCGGCTTCTATGGAGACGCTACGACCGGGACACGCGATGACTGCACCAGATGCCCGTGCCCGTAAGTTCCTGGTTTTCAATAGCTGAATATTTATTGAGAGTAAAATAATCCAGTAACTGGTGTCATGCATAGCAGAAGATCCTCCCCCATGGACCCCCATAAATGTGCATTGTGCGAGTAGCCGGGGCAGTATGCAGCAAGCCTGGGCGGGATGAGGACATATCCTCAACGATCGTATGCAGCAAGCAGAAAGCCGTCGGCGATATATCCCCATCCGCGACCAGGAATTGCTGCATACGGCTTTTGGAGGGGGAGAAGGTCCGCATTTTGGTTCTTCCGTCGTAGTCATCCAGTCTCGATGGTCAAGCCATGCGCGACGATTCTTGGAGTTCTGTCGAAAACCACTTTGAGCATTAATGAGGGATTTGAAAAAAGTTGTAATTTGTTTTTGATTCGAAACTGCTGTTTTTGGTCTCTAATGATCAAGCAAAACTTCCCACAGAAGCGATGAGTTATTTTTTAGCCGTCATGTGCAATAAACAACTCCCCTGCCGTTTTATTGATTGGTAATTTGCTTTTTACAGAGACGGAGGTGACTGCTTTATAAACGAACAAAACCTTGTGGAATGCTCCGAATGTCCGGCAGGAAAGCAAGGCATCACTTGTGAGGAGGACATCTCAGCACCAAAAGAGGACGTCATCAAGAACGCTAAGGAAGAAAAGAAAGAGGAAGAGGAAAAAGTGGGCCGAATGAAAATGGAAGTGAAGAACAACGAACTGCAGAAGTCCAACATGAATTCAGTGGTGTGAAAAATAACAGCATAGTCGACGAAACGATCAATGAGAGTAAATAGAGAACTAACAATTCATAATAAATATACGAGTATTAGTATTTTCAGTATTTGTTTATTATATTATTGAATGTAGACTGAAAGGATAAAGTGTTCAAATTTGTTCAATCCTTTTCTAAAGCTATCTAAAGCTATGAAAAAAGAAATTTGACTGTAAAAACTGATATTTGAGTAGCTGTGAAGAACGATTATTCGCATTATATGAGCAGACTGCATAAGGAGAAAAACGGATTCAGAAACAAGTTCTTGCAAATTCTGAGACCACAGCACCACAACGCAGACCATAACCCAACCCAATAACGCTGAGTACAAATCAAGCGATTTTGGTGATGGCTGACATGCTTTGTCGTCGTAGGCGTTGAAGGAAGGAGGAATTCACGATAAGAACGAAGGTCAAAAAGGGGAAAATTGGGGACAGGCGGACCTCCTGAGGGTGCTGACCGACGCGCAATTGGCAGCGAAAGATTTGACCTCGGCGATCTAGCATGGCTCACTCTTGGCGCGGTTGGCGGGGTACGCCCACCGACTATCTAATCACTCGCCGCAGGTCTATACGTGGCGAGTGATTAGATAGCAGAGAGAGCGTAGTGTTGAAGAGGGCACAGCGATGAGAGTCGCATCAATGCGCAAATCAACGGGCAAGGAAGGGGTCCCATTTCTCGGGTTTCGGGCCGTTTCAAATGGTTTCTTCATCCCTGCTCCACTGACCACCTCTACCCTTATTTCCAATGAGCTAACTTTTCATCGTAAATTCTGCCTTTAATCCTTACAAATGAGCGGTTTGAGTGAGCTTTGTCCATTCCACACTAAGAAAATCTTGGAAAACAGGGTTCCACGCAGCACTGGTACATCGTGGGTAAAAATCGGTGTAAGGCCCAAATAAATACTGACTGAATAAAGAATGAAAATGTCAGGGTTTCATTAGCATGCCCATCAAATTTTTATGGAAAGCCTATCTGTGGTTGAAAGCCGATGCTGAGGTTGCTCGATCAAAAGCCATAGTGAATATAATGAATATCAAAAGTCGGATTAGGCAAAAGTGATGGTGAAATTGCTAGCTCATTCTTTCGCTACCTGCGTGGCTAATATTGAGTTTTTTTGTATCGCCGTTTCCAGCACTTTCAGATAATTTTGTTCGACTTGATCAGTTGTAACTTCAGTTCATTTTGTTTTTATCTCTTATTTCACTTCGTTGTTTGACATGTTAAAAGTGAGAGGGCGGGTTCAATTCCCGCTGGGCGGAGTTTGCTGCTATCTAGCATTCTGTGTGATCTCGGAAAAGTGCTGAGCCGTGAAACCTTATAGGTAGTGTTTCACTAGAAAGAATTATTCAGATGAGTTCGCACCAGAAGGTACAGTACTAAAAGATCATATCTCAGAACGAACAACGAAGTCCTCTTAACATTAAGTTCACTGAAATGTGTTTTCGATAAACGTTCATGAGCGAATATGAATCTTGTATAGTAACACTGATGTAATCACAGACAAATATCATCGCCATTCTATGTGTAGCTCTTTTGAATTATCCCAAAAAATAGTCATTTTCCCATGACCGGACTGATCAGATACTCCTTTATCGCACGCGTGCAGCGCACGCTCCAATATCCTGCGTAAGACTCGCAGGGTCGTTGGCTGGGCGCACAATAGTGGTGCCGTCCTTGTAATGACAACTGGAAATCGAGATTGAAAAAAGTGGCAAAGGTGACGCCCTAGCCATGAACCAACTCGGCCGAAATCGAAAACTCGCAGCAAGGCTCATTTTCTGACCTCTGTGGGCTTCGTTGCCATCGTTTCCAGATGAGAGGGCCACGTTCATCTGAATCCCCTATCGAGTCGGTATTAGCGACGCACAAGCTGGCGACCAAGTCCTCGTGTCAAAGTGTTTAAGTGTCTTTCGTAAGACCCGTGGCACTTATTTGGACTTTTCTTGAGGTTTGAAATGGTGTCTCGGTGGGTGATGTCGCCGTTTGGTTCTTGGTTTTCCCGGCTGCCGACGATTCGAACATTAGGTCGAAACGTTAGCGCGAATGGGTGGGGAACCGGTGCTTATGTCCTTGTTGGCTCACCAAAATCCAACTGCAAGTAATCATCGCAATGCCAAGATATACCGAGAATCGAATGTGGACGCTACTGAAATAAAGTTGTACCAATACAGAATAATGCCGTAGAATATTTGATCCTGCCAACAAAAAGCACAGCATTCGGGACGGGACCTCCGTTCTCGCTTACT